GTTCATGTACATACCAAGTTTCGCACCACATCATCTATGCCTTGCAAGCAAGCCATTTGCATTCACATCTTTATTCTCCAGTTATGCAGAATTTGGAAAAAATGCTTATTACACCTTCCATTCACATAAGCTTTTCATAATTTTTCATACTTTGTTTCATTAGCCTCTCTCCTTCCGCTTACTAAATTTGGTGCCATACCCGTTAGACATGCATTGAGAACTAGTCACGTATGTTGTTACGAATAGCATCGTTTGAGCGACGTCGCGGTTTGAGGCACGCGGCCTCCAGCGTCGCCTGTTGTGGCACTTGCCATGCTAAGACAAGCGGAGAGTATGGACTACCAATTTTTTCCTTCGCCCGAACCCCTTCCTCCCCCTCCCCCAATAAAAACGATATCCCCTTTGCTTTTTCACCCAAAACGATTTCCAGCCTATCATTGGCCCACCTCGTGCCGGACCTTGGAAAGCAGTCAAAACAGACTTTAGATAATTAATAGCTCTTCTATGTATGATTGACGGACAGAAAGAAGTGGTAGTGACCATGGCCCGGCACGAGAAAGGCAAACGCCCACTTAGAAGTTTTAGGGTGAAACAAAGAGGATTTTGTGAATGCGCATTCATACGCATTACATCCTTCCGAAAGTAGGCCTTAAATCTAGGTTTCTTCACATAAAATAATCAGCAACAGACGGTTTGGAGAGCACAGATAACGAGGAGACGTCAAAATTTCTATTTACAAAGGACAAAGGAACACAGCTCAGCAGAGGTAGCTTTCACACGCTGGATGTCGTTTTTTGAGGGGAAGCAAAAGGGAGATCGTAAAAGGCCAGGGGATTTCCCGAATTTGACAAAATATCCAAGCACAATTCTTACTTTCAAAAAGTCCAAATCCGAGGCTTTAACGTCAATTTTCCGAGAACTAAATTTATACGTTATGAACACGATTAGTGCATGAACTTGCGTGCACATAATTTACACCGTGTTAAAACATGATCTTTATGCATAAAACATAAACAACTAGTTTGTTTACAATGACTATGCAATACTCACCAAATCTGGTGTGTAGCTTCTTGATGACAATGAAAACAAAAGTATGAAAAAATGAAAAAATTGTTGTAAGTATTTCTCTACTCAAGTTGCTTCCGCGCAACCTGGGAGCACCCTGAGGTTGCGCGAGACCAGACAAAGTCATAGTTTACCCCCCTTCCTCACATAATTTCTCAAAAACATTTACCCTATTTTCAGGTGTATAAGCCGCACCCTCCTTGCTCTAAACGCGAGCAGACCCAGGCGTGCCGCTGCGCAAGTGCTTCGCAAAGCGGTCGTTTTCTCGCACATTGCTCTCACTCAACGCGCCCCATCGCAACAAGCAGTTCTTTGGCGTGTGCCCTTTAGAGCGATGAGGGTGCGGCTTATACACCTAAAAATAGGGTACATAAATCTATTCTTTAGTTCAACACCTACCTAGGAGTACCACTTTAAAGGCAGTGTCCCGGCAGATTCGTGTCCTAGGGGATATACGTGTGGTGGGGTTCCTGGTCACCCCATCGACCTCCATGCGCAGTCCGGCTGGGTGATGTTCCCCCTGGGCCGAGAAAATGGTCCTTGAACCGGCGCGCGCAACCCCAACTGGCGCGCGCTGGGACGGCCTTACCCGCCTGTTCGGCGCGGGACCCCACGAGCGCTCTCCCCCATGATGCATGCTATCCAAAGCAAGAATTACAGGCGGCAGGATCCTCGTCTGAGGACCTCCCCCAACTTTCCATTAAAAATCTCGTCCAAGCTGCTTTTCTGGAATTAGGAAAACGCCCCAAAATCGGCCTTTTCAGCCCGTTCAAAGCTCAAATTCGGATTCTACGTGGCGAAAAGGCCTAAAACATGCAAAAAGGTGGAGGTGCGAAATCTGCCGGGACACTGCCTTTAATCCAGATTTCGACTCCTCTGCCCTGCTATGACATTTATAGGTACAAAAACCTCCTTTCTTGAGCCTTCTGTTGTTTTCTCTTTGACTTTCCTGTTTTCTTCTTCAATTTTATCCACCTAGCTTTCGCTGCAGATTATAAGCCGTAGTTCCACAAATTCACAGAAGGTTATTCGTAAATTCTTGCAAAGTCAAAGGGAAATTCGTTTCCAAGATTCTCAAATGCGATCTCGTGCTGGGCCCTGAAAAGGAACAGAAGATTGAGCTTCGAACCTTTGCGGAGGTTATGTGATTGAGCTGTGTGGCAAGCTTTTTGCCGGATGTCTTACACTACTAAAATTTGGAAACGGACCTCATCATCACTCGGAAGCTAATGTGATTGAAGAGAGTTAATTATTAGAAATTTGCAGATCTCATCTGATTTTTTCGCATTAGCTTGGCAGTTGCCACGACATTGCCACCCGGATGGTGGCAATACTTCCACTTCGCATAGTATTTTTTCTTATCTCTACTAAAACTGCTCTACACTCATGGTTTGGTGCAGTAACAAATTGTTTTCAACCTTCTCCTGTCTGTTAGGATTGAAATAGCAATAAATTCACGCCAGCACTTACATGGTGCACTCTATTTGTGCCCTACAATAAACACTCCGGTGCTAACGTGGCATTGCCACTAATGCAGTAGGGTAAGAACGGATATCGGCTCGATGCCACAAAATATATTGAGACCTATCCCAAAATATTCAGAATAAAGACAGCCAAACGCTTAACAGTTTTCGATGCGAATTTTCAACTTTCTATATTTCCATTTTTGTCTTTTGGGAGAGCTTTGGTCACTGTTGGATAAAGTAAACGAAATTGTAAACAAAGCATTTTTGGCATTCGAAGCTACATTTTCAACTTGTGAGATGTTTTTTATGTTGCTTCATATTTGGTCATCTCAGACCACATAGCAGATCAAACTGCGAGCAGACGGCATTCGCTGCAAAACGTTCTCCTCTTTCTAACAAAACGTTTTTTCTCCTTAATTCATGCGAGTTGCGGGGATTAGGATCATTGTGATTCTAGTATTGAAAGCATTCAAGTTGTGCAAAGCTCAATTGATATTTCAAAGTGATAAACACGCCTTTGCTTTGTTAAAGTGCTTTTGTCAGTGTTTGATCATAATAGACTTTTGGAAGTTTCAAATCCTGAAGGTTTATTGTGTTTTTTTGTTACGACTCCTCAAAAATGAAGACTTTTGCAAAATTTCTTCGAAAACATTTGCGAGCTAGTCGAAGAAGCCCAAAAAATTCATTGCCTTACATTTTGTCTATTGAATCCAATAATATGAAAGATCTTCCAATAGTTATAGATGTAAATTTTGAAAAATAGCTAAGATAAGGGTAGTTCATGAGTCTCAGATTCTGACAATTATTCGGGCGATCATCAAAAATCTCGAAACAAAAACATCACTGCCGAAAAGAGGAAAAGTTGCATTTGCCCATCATTATTCTGAACAGTTTGGTTAAGGTCCCCTGGCATAACTTATAGAAAAAGCATTACGAAAAAACTTTACGAAATTCATACTTAATTCAGCGACTTAATTGCCCTATCGTGGGACGTTTTAGGCTGTCCGTTTCTTAAGGCAAGATATGCCTTTCAATGGCTCAAAACCCGCTTCAAAGCTCTCACTCAATCTACGGTAATGAAAAGACCGGCGAATTGCTCCATGCCGTCAAAGTTGAAACCAGCTTTATAGAATGGTACCCAAAACGAACAAACACTACATCTGATGTTAGAGTGATACAACACCGTGGGGTCGCGGCGAATTCCTCGCAGAAGAAAGGAGGTCCCCGGAAGTCGAAGTGGCCAACTAAAACAGGCTGTATACCATTGGACGCAGTATAGAATGCTGACTTCAAGTCTTTTTTCCGTATCTGCTAAACGCCTTCGTAAAGGAAGTCATGAGCACTTTTGCTGCTACATTTTTGTACATGAAAGTTTCGAAATTAGGCACATTATTGCCTTTTAGCTCATCTTTACGTGGCTTTATAAAGTAACCTAGCTGCATTATTTGACCCAGCATAAGGTCAAGCATGGGGTTGTACGACCAAATTTGAACTATTATACACGATTTCTTTGCAACATAATAGCTCATAACATTGCCTAGAAAGGCGTTCAGCAGATACGGAAGACAGACATGACCCAGTGTTCTATGTTGCTTCAATAGTAGACAGCATGCTCGGATTGGCCCCTTAGGCCCCGGACAGACTTCACGCGATTTGATCGTCGCGACTGAATCGCGACGGGACAACTGTTACAACATCATTCCAGCCGATCAACTTGCATTTCGGTTGTGATACTTTTTTAGCCCGAAATTTTTGAATGTGAAATGAAAATGAATGGAAATGTCGGCGATTGAGTCGCGACGACCAAATCGCGTGAAGTCTGTCCGGGGCCTTAGACGGTAGCGCATGGAGAGTTTGGATATACAAGAGCAAGATATCATTTTCCGTTGATAGAAATATGTACTCAACAATTATGAACAAACACATTTTCGTGTGTAAGCCCTTTATCTACGGTTTGTTCTCGCAATAATCCTGGAGCGTGAAATAACAAGTAGTCAGAAATCCCTTACTGGCCAAGACGACTCTACATCCAACAGTCATCGAACTGTGCCAGGAGTACGTGTCGTGTAACTGAAACATAAAGATCCAAATTTCTGCCTTCTAGCCAACTTTACAATTTTTGAATGGAAGAAAGGTTGGCTATGTTAAGGCCCGTATGCATGAAATTCACCGCGCCTAAGAGAGCGGCGCCCCAATGATGGAAAAACCATAACGGCTTCGCGGTGCCTTCATCACACAGGAGGGGGGGGGGGAGTCGCTTCTCTCGAGAAGAAGTTCATGCATATGGGTAGAGGACTATATGTCGCCGAAAAAGGGCGGTCCCCGCGGTCATTTGCGACAAATACGCATCCTTGTGTATGCGCGGACATGCGCTCCTGCAGGGAATCCGCGCGGGACCCTTCCAAATTCGGCGAAATATAGTCCTCCACCCCATGCATATCGGTCCTAAGTGAGATATAAAAAATAACACTAGGAATTACTCACAGAACCATATATAAAGGATCCACAGCCTCCCATTGTGTAATTGGCAGCATCTTGAGGAGTCATGGGTCTGTAAACACATTTTCACTTACATGCAAAATACGTGTAAGAACTTACATTTCGATGTACTCGCTGAACATCGCTCCACCTCGAGTCCATTCAAATCTTGCAAACTTCCCCGTCTTTCTTAGTTCTTCCCTTAAAAAGCGTGCAGCCAGCCGCCCATAATAAGAGCTTGTACACTGAAAGACGTGATTTGATTTCACTGCACATTGAACAGACATGTGCGCTTTATACTATTGAAACTAACTATTTTTCCGACTAATTTTGGAACAAGACGAGCTTTCAGAAGGACAACCATATCGCCAGTCAGCATCTTTGAATATTCGGGTATGCTCATGTTCGTGACTTTTCTGATTGTTTTTGTTGGAAGTACCGTGCCCACCTCAAATAAACGATAAGAGTTGTGTTTCCAACAGCCTTTCTGTGGATTAAAGTCAACTTACAGAAAGAACCAAACAGACAAGCAGTATCATTTTTCACTGATCAACTTCGCGATCAACTTCAACAGTTCCTTTATATAGCAGTCGTATTTAGTTCATCATTTATTGCAACAAATTTATTGTTGAAAATGTTGTACTCACACGCAGAGTTCACCATCATTAAAGAACACTAACCGTGAGCCTACAAGTTCAACAATCGGCATTACTGGGCTACACCTCAAGGATTTATGAGATCCTGCTCATAATGTCCAATGTCCCGCACAAACATTCAAAACTGCCTCTTTTCCTCTTTCCTTACTAAACGTATACTCTTCATCCGTCTAGCGAAATGCAGCTCAAATATTTGCAAAAGCGCAACGACATGTCATGCGAGTTTGTCCTTTATTTTCATCACGCAGATTTCGCAAAATCAATTTTCAAAATTGCCCTCCGTGTCCGAAAACAGCAGTGATCGGTGGTCAAAAGCGCAATACAGCGCCAATATAAGCCTCAAAATCATTCCTGGTACAATGCAAATCACGCGCAATCAAGTCTGTTGCCCTTTCCATTGTTCAAGCCATGATTTTGCAATTGTTAATCAATCTACTAATGTGGATGGGGTTGGCTGGAAAAAGTTTGAAGATGTAGATGGATCATCAACAATTCCTTGGATAAACAGCAAGCAGTTACGTCTGATTCTAGGTCCTAAAAACTGAACATGAATCAATTCTATTTTTTTCCGGAACGGAAATGAAACGTTGCTGTTCCGCCGTAACATACTATGCACTCGCGTGTCTCTTCATGCACACTTCTTATAAATCTACAAAACTTTGATTTAAACCGTCTTTAATCTCTCAAATTAAACTCAATGTACTGTTATCGTTAGCATGTTGACTAGTTTATATTATTTTGTAACAAAATCATGCAGGTTTTCCACACCGAATTTGTGTATAACTTTTTGCAAAGATAGCCATTTTGTTTCCAATGAAAATTGTTACAATCAGCAAACCTTTGGCTTCTCGATACTCACTAGAGCGTTATTTTTGTTTCACTGATTGTAAAAAAAAAACTTTACACCTCAAAGACTGCCACATATTTTCTCGAAAAACGATCAGTTTGGATATTAGTTGTTTCACAGTGAAGTACTAGGATAACACAAACTTCACTCCCCGTGTAGACAATAATCGGCTATGCAATTTATGGCGCTAATAAGAGTTGAAGCTTCCCTATGTCTATTCTTTCGTACACGGCGATACCTCTGCAATTACTTTCCGCTCAAGATTTTTATATGCCGCAGAAGGATAACAGTGATTCTTCGTGTCCGAAATCAGAATTCTCAGTCTCGAAATTTTTGAAGAATTCGCTCTAATGTGCATTTTTGTAGCACATAACTCTTTCAAATGTTATTCCAGTATGCAGAGAATTAGACTTTTTGCGGGTGATTTAGAGCAGAGAGTGTAAGAAGAAAAGTTTTAAAACTGTCTCTTAACTTCAAAGGCATTGAATTTCGGAATAGAGCCACTTTTTTGAAACAAACGCATGTCCAAGCGACTAGAAGAAAAGTGATTCCAGATGATATATTAGGTTGATGCAAAAATATTGGACAATTTTCCAAGCCTTTTTCAGGGCATTTTTTTCCCATCAGAGTTTTTCTTTGAAACAAACGTAGCATATCGTTGAGAAGGTTTTCATGCTTTGTCTAATGGTGGTTGAATCAGGCTTCAATCCCCATCTGTTCTCAAGCTACTGAGGTTCAAATAACCGCATCCAAACTCAGAATTTTATTGCATTCACTTTTCTGGCCAGAGTTCTAGCGCTGATGAATGGCGCTTCTTCGAAAAATTTTTATTGCATGTAATAGGATTTTGCCTACATTATGCATACTTGACTGTATTTTTGAAAAGTTATCCAGACTGAGATATCGGCTCCTCAACATTGCTCCGACTTTCGTTGCGTACCAGCGGCGTTCGATGCTCGTCTGAGCGGAACACGCAAACGCCGCTGGTAGGGCAGTCGCACGCCGCTCGTACGCTGTGGAACTCCGCTGGGAGGAGAACGCCGCTCGCCAAAAGGCGGTACGCCGCTGGTAGGGCGCAATGAGGAACGCCGTTGGTACGCCAAGCGCACGCCGCTGGTACGCAAAGCCATTTAGGTACGCCGCTGGTACGCAACGAAAGTCTGAATGGTAGCCGTTGCTTCAGTTTATGGTTATAAATTTCTCTTGAATGGCCAAGTAAATGGCCAAAGCTTTCCTCACTTCTGTAAGCGTAATGCTAGGACATCCTATTAGTAGTTTTTGCAAAAACATCCAGCTATTCAGGCTCAAAAAATCAAAAAACCTCAATTTGGGGCTTTGAGGCATACTGAAAAACTGTTGAAAAACTGACAATTCTATGTTTTGATTTTTTTCCCTTTCGCAAATTTTTTTCTTCAGACCTATTCACCGTATTTTGTACTACTGGCATGCGGCTACAAGATAGGCCACTTATCATTCACAATAACACTCTTTGAAGAAGTTATGAACTGCCAAAAATGAGGTTTCAGATAAAAACCATTCTTGTTTGTTAATCTATATTTTTTGTCCGTTTGTGATGTGGGTACATGTAAATGTGCGCTTCACTGCAAAAGGTTTGCTGATTCTGTTGGTTTTTACAGCGTTCAGAAATCTGAATTTTTAGGATAGCACGTGAAAGTGAAAATTTGCAAAAGGGGCATTATTTTTGCGTCAACCTTATATATGGTAAGAAAATAGAATTTCATTTCAAACCAGCACTTTGAAAAAGTGGTGTAAAAACCTGCATTAATTCTGTTATAACCTAATACAAGCCTTACTGCGAAGGATTAGCTGGCTGGCTCTACGTTTCTCTAACAAGGGAAGTTCACTTAGTCAAAGTGGCGATTCGGAAGGAGTTCTATACCGATGGATAGAGCTCAAAAAGCTGATCTCAGCTATACCTCCTATATCTGCGATGCATTGTTCCAAAAAAAGTTACGATCCTTTCTAAAGCCAAATTTTCGTGCATTTTGAGTCGCAAAATCAAAATAATCTCTATAGAAAAGTGCGCAAGTTTAAGCAAACCACCTTGTAAGCATTGTAGGTCTAGTTGGAGTTCATCCGAATGTATTCGAGTGTTTTCCGACCATGTTGTTTATCCACAGGTCGCCATTTCCTTCCTAGATCACACTTCCACTATGTATACAAAAAAGCCCCATAACCTCCATCTAGAAAAACTCGTCGCGTCGGAAACTTTTTGGAAATTACCAATGGATAAAACGTAAAACGATGTTCTCAAATATATCTTCAATATCTGCGACGCGTTCTTCTCGATGGAGGTTATGGGCTTTTTTGCACATATAATAGGATTGTGATCTAGGAAGGAAATGCAAGGAAACCTTTGGATAAACAACATGGTCGGAAAACACTCGAAAACGTTCGGATGAACTCGAATTAGAGCTACAATGCTTACTAGGTGGTTTATCTGAGTTTGCACACTTTTGTGTAGCGACTATCATGATTTTGCGACTCAAAGTGCACGAAAATTTGGGTTTAGAAAAGCTCATAACTTTTTTTCAGAACGACGCATCGCAGATATAGAAGGTTATCTGAGATCAGCTTTTTAATCTCTATCTACTGGTATAGATCTCCTTCCATATCGCCATTTTGACTAAGTGAACTTCCCTTGTAAGGAAAATCATGTTGGTAAGCAAATAATCACTTATGTGATCTTTCCAGCACTTCTTCCAATTGTGGAACATCAGTTGGGTGTATGTCAAGAGGCGCGATTTTTATTGCCAGCTGGACACCAAATAGCACATAATAAGTGTTTTGCAACTTTCTAAAAGTATATGCAATTTAGAAGAAGATATATTAGACAGTTGCATGAGTTGTTGAATCTTAATACTCTAGAAGAAATTCAAAAGAGCAATTTTGAAGGTCAAAAACTCCTGAAAATGCATTTCAGAACAAATTCGTAAATATTTTAGTCCGATTTAAAAAACCGCAAAAAACCGCAAAAGCAAAAACCATGAAACTCAGCAAATGGTGACCCCTGACAGATAATAAGCTAATGCTCTTTATCCGGTAATTTTTGAAGACTCGCATAGCACTAAACTGGAGTTTTAAGTTGGTGACAGCCAGAGAAATCGCGCCTCTTGACTGTCTCCCACATCAGTTTATGAGTCCCAGTCAGTGTATCTTCAGAGGGTTCCATCTAGGAGAAATTATTAAAAGACTCCAAAGCGATCCTCATCTTGTATATAAAGCTGAATGTCTATTTGTCTGTATGTTTGTGCCTCTATGTTTGTGTGTGTGTACGTATATATGTTTCACTGAGAAAAATTCATTTCTGAACAGATCTGGACAAAACTTGGTACACATAAACATTGCAAAAAATCGACATTGATCGATAACAAAAAATAGCCTACGACACCCGTTCGCTTTGAGTACGGTGCTGGGAGTTGGCAAAGAGGGTAATCGAGCGCGTTTATTGCGACTAAAATATTACGTTTCAAAATTAGCGATTGCCTTTATCGATTTTATCCGTTTTTGCAAAGTTTGAGCAACGGGGCTTGGAGTTGCTATAAGAGGGTTTTTGAGCATGCCGATTACGAGTACAGTATTGGTTTTTGGAATTATCATTACTTTTATTGATTTTACCGGCTTTTCTGCGACGTTTGGGATACGAGGCTGGAAATTGGCGCTCGGGAGTAAGTGAACATTCTGATTACGGATACAGTAACAATCAATTCTTACAGGGGAAAGATACCAGATCGCAGTGGTGACCCGAAATGAGCACATCATTAGATGCGTCTTGATAAGCTGATTCCAAATCTTACTTCAAATTTGCTACGCTCTTCCCCAGTAGAAGTTTGTGCGTTCGGATGTTCAAATTCGGCAAACATTCAGAGCCACATATTC